ATATTTGTCGTGTGTGTGTGTGTGTGTGTGTGTGTGTGAATAAGTTTCACTCTATTTAAACAGCAAACAATCTACCATAAACACCTTCTACATCTCCAATGTCAGTATGCTTCCACCATAATATTTTGACACTTATTTCATTGTGAACCAGGTTATTAGAAAGAATTCATTTTGTTGGGTGTTTATATTGTTTTCACATTTTGATTATTACCCACAATGCTTCTATAAATGTAGGGACACATCTTTGATTTTGGATTGCATTATAACATACAAGTGGATTTTCTGAACCAAAGGATGTACATCTTAGACACCAATTATAATAACACTAAAGGCCTGGTGCACGGATTTGTGCACCCATGGGGTTCCTCAGCCTGGTCTGTGCCCTTTCGCAATCCACCCCCCTTGGGGGATGTCAGAGGCCTAGTGCATGGATTTGGCTCAATCCCTGCAGGCCAGGCCGAGGGACCCCACTGGTACATGAATCTGTACACCGGGCCTCTAGTATGCATATAAGATCTTTGGTCAATCTCTTTCCCCTCCCCCCTTCCCTCCGAGATTCATCAGTCTGTTCCATGTTTCCATGCCTGTGCTTTGAGCATCTGCCCCCTGATGGTCAGTGCATTTCATAGCTACTGGCCAAATGGTCTAACTGTTGGACACTTAGCATATTAGCCAAAGATATAGATATAGATATAGATATAGATTGTACAAGTTATCTAACACATCTCTTCACAAACACTTTCTTATCGAAAATTTTATCAATCTGTCTCCAAAATGTTTGTTTTTTATAGATTGTTTTCATATATAAAGTGCAAGAAAGCAGAGAGATAAAAAGATATATCAGGCAAATGCTTTGTTTTGTTGACTTGTTGTTTTTTTGTTGTTGTTCTGGTCTCAGTGTGTCTGGATTCACCAAATTAAACTGAGTAGCTTGACTCATGAAGAAGCTCCTTTGACTTCCCTGGGCAATGGGGACACCAGAGAGCCGGAGAGTAGCTTTTACTATTTTGGAATCACAGAACTGGTGGCATTTCTCTGTGTCATCAGATTTTTCCATTACCTGTCGAAGTGTCACTTCAAATACTTCCCTAAGGTCTGGGTACACCCTGTTGGTGTTTATGATGTTTCCTATATTTCTCTTTATTTACTTTTCTGCACAAAGGTGAACTATGAAAAAAAAAAAAAGAACCATATATTAAATTTGTAAAAATTGGAGGCAAAGAGTCCAGGGTACTAACACTGCCTCTGCAAGGCCCAGCTGGGCGAATCTTTAGCTGTGTGGGGCTCCTTTTCTCTTTCCAGATGGCTCTGTATCAGTTCAGGAAGGGAGATGGGGTTGTGAATGGGGAGCAATGCCAGGAGCTTGTACTCTATAATATATGTACTTCTGTGAGTGAGATATACAGTACCTCACTAATTAGGTATTATTTGTCTGCATTGTAAAGATGAAGAATTGAAGGTTCCTAATGTACATTAAATTGCCGAGGTCATATAGGGAGTAAATTACAGCTATATCATGTACTCTGAGTTTGCTTGACTCCAAAGCCTATGCTAGATGTGAGTATATGAGTAAGAGTGGGAGTATTTGTATTTATTAGTTTAAGTATTTATTTAAGATCTATGTTCCAGACACTGCACTCAGGTCTGGGATTCAGTGGTGAATAAATTTTATATGGTCCCTGCCTCTTGAAGACTGTAGTCAAGTGGAGGGAAAGATACATAAAATGATGAAGTACCAATATATAATTCCCACTTGTGATTAATATGATGAAACCAAAGAGCAGGGTTTTGTGGGAGAAAAACGAGGGAGAACTCATTTGAATCATGGAAGACATTTCTTAGGCTGAGAACTAGAAGATAACTGGGAGTTAATCAGATAAGGAAGGGAAGAAAGGAAAACGGTTTCAACTTGTCAAGGTGGATAGAGCAGCGGAGGGTAGAGATCTGATTGCCTGGGACCCAGCAAGGCTCCTTAGAAAATGCAGATGCCCTATGATGACCACAGCCCGCTTTCCAGAGAAGGGTTGTGGTCATGTCCAAGTATGTGGTATTTCCTTAACATGTTATGTGTTATTAGGGAGACGTCCTAACAGATGTGGAGATGGCCTCTCCCTTCCCTGGCATGCCATCCAGTGTTGCAACTTCCCGATCTGTTGCCAGTCAGCTCTGTGGCCCTGTTGGCCCCACAGTGCATGGAGCTCTTTCTATTGCTCCGTGACTGCTTCTCTACGCTCTGACATCCACAGGGCAGAACAAGTCTGGTCACGTGTGTCCACAAGTCATCTTCCCTTCATTCCTGGAAATGACTTGCCACAGATGCAGATGTCCAAGAGAAAAGGCACTCAGCCTTCTGACCAGCTGCCTAATTCTGGTCTCAGGAGATCCAGCAATATTTAAGAAATGGAATCACTATTCTGGGTAATGGGTGGAAAGGATTGCATGGAAAATGAGATTAAACTACATAGGTCTTTTGAAGAATGGAAACATAAACTGAGCAACATGGCTGAATTTCAGAGAGAAGAATGAAACAGAATCACTCACTCTGGGTCACAGGGAGAGAAAGAACTTGACTAACACTTTGGGTTCAGGGGATATCTTTCTGTGTGCTGGAGGGATAATGAAACTGGGCTGCTTTGCTGGCCAACACGGGGAGGATTCCCAGAACAGGAAGCAAGGTGGTAGCATCTTCAGCCCACAGAACCAGCCGGCAGGAGGGAGTGTGAGCAATGATGACTTCCTTGTGTGGACATCAAGCACTAGCAGAGGAAGCTGTGCCTGTGGAGGCAGGTGCCCTGGGATTGATCATTGCCAAGGCCTTTCCCTGCTGACCCCTGTGGCCTGGGGCCAGTAGGTCTCACTAAGTCTCAGCCACCACATTCTTAATAAAGCACACTTGACCCTCCCAGGCTCCCACAGGGACAGCGATGCAAAGCTAGCATCTTCTCTGAACTGCCCAGGTGGAAGGACCAAGGAGCCAATGTGGGGATGCTGAGAGCGGGACAGGTTAGTCATTTAGACTGTGCGGTGTTACAGTCATAAGGGAAATCGCTCACTTCCAGTCTAAATCCTTCATTTTACAGTTGAGCAACTGAGGCCTAGAAACGGGACATGACCTGTCCACAGTCCACAGGCAGGCAGATTGTGGCAGAGCTGGGCCTGGAACCCAGGACCTCTGACTCCCACACTGGTTGTTTACTCCGCCAAACTTAAAGCCATTCATGGGATCAGAGAATGGCTTTCTGGCAGCAGCTCCTGGGCCTGAAACCAGAAACAGACTGGGAAGGATAAAGAAAATGAGTTCTGTGAATTAGGCACAGTGCCAGATGTCTTTATGCATTTTTAATTTTCACTTAACCCTCTCGAAACCCCCAGGAATAAGATGTTATTGCCATTTTACACCTGCTCATGGAGACACAAAGGGCTTAAGTATCTTATCTCAGGCCCCGAGTATGGCTGAGCCCAGACTTGAACCCAGCTCTGCTTGCAAACAGAGCCTGAACTTTCTACCCCAGCACATGGGAAGCATCCACGTCTCAGGATCATTGCTGATGGGATAAAACCTGGGACAGAGATTAGGCAGGGCTAGCGGCAGCTGCCTTGTCCCATGGCCAGAAGGAAAAGAGGCCAGAGTGAAGACCAGTGGATCAACTCTGAAGTCACATTTCAGATTTTAGAGAAGTTTTTCTCTGGATCCGTGGTCCGCAGACTGTGGCTCGTGAGCCACATGCGGTTCTTTGGCCCTTTGAGTGTGGCTCTTCCACAAAATACCACGGCCTGGGTGAGTTTATTTTGAAGAAGTGGCATTAGAAGAAGTTTAAGTTTAAAAAATTTGGCTCTCAAAAGAAATTTCAATCATTGTATTGTTGATATTTGGCTTTATTGACTAATAATGAGTTTGCCGACTACTGCTCTGGATCAATCAAAGGTCTCTGATCTCATTTTAGGGATGGCTACTCCAATGGCTAGTTTCCTTTTGGCCTACATGCTCTCTCTGCGCTGATGAATAATATTTATATCCTGATCTGATCACTTAGGTTTGTTTTTTACACAGGTTATTTAAAAACTTCTGTTCATAATTTTCTCCTGACATGCCATTGGCCAATAGCCACAAAATCCCTCTCAGTACTAAAATTCTTCTATGCCAAGTTCTTCAAGAAATTAGATCACCTTCTGATGAATTAGTAATAAAAATGAAAGCCATAGCTAGTCACAGGGATAACTTTGGGCTCTTGCCTGACAAGTAAATCCTCTGTGTGAAGGAACACAGGCTAACAATTTTGGACTCGGGTCTCTGTGGCCACATGGTGACATTGACCTCACCGGTAGGTAATTAGCCAGATTAGCTGCCGTTCGGGTTGTGTTCTCTCATCACGAAACCTTTTCCCAACTCGAACCACGTGGGCTTCCACGAGAAAACAAAAGCACACACCGCCCCCCACACCCAGGAGCCCCTTCTGTTGGGGATCCCGAGGGGACCCGGGCAGACGAGCTGTTGGAAGGCAGAGGAGGGCTGGTCTCCATCGCATACCACAAGTAGGTGGAGGGCTTGTTGTTCTGTTTCCCGCCTATGAGAGGATACCCCTATTGTTCCTGAAAATGCTGACCAGGACCCACACTTCCAACCAAAATTCCTCCACCCCTACGGCAGCCGCCAAAGCAGCAGAAGCAGCAACAGCCACAGATAAGTGTTTTTGATGAATTGCAAGATGGAGAGGGTTTGCAGTGCCCCCAGCCCTGCTGATACCGAATGCCTTTAAGATACAGCCTTTCCCATCCTAATCTACAAAGGAAACAGGAAAAAGGAACTTAAAACTCCCTGTGCTCAGAGACAGAAATGAGGCTGTTACAGCCTGCCTCTCTACTGTTTCTTCTCGCCTCCGACTTGTAAACAAGAACCAGTAGAACGTGAGAATGGGGAGTCACAGACCTCGGGGTGCTTGAAAGGGTCCCCGGAACCTCATGCACATCTGTGGAACCTGGATGGAGAGATGGGGGAAAGCATGGACTTTTTAGCCGGCTTAGTTCTCTACGGACTCAGCTTGCTCCTTTCTGGTAAGCGTTGGCTTTATTTTATTTTATTTTATTTAGTATTATTTTAAAACGGTGATTCTGGGCGCTCTCAGTCTTTCTTAGTGCTGGTTAACAAGAAGCAGCTGTGGCATGGGCACTGTTTCTCTGTTTAATATGTAACGCTCCACTTAATGCGCGTGAGGACTGAAATGCAAAGTCCTCGTGGCATGAGCTGCTTTTCCCCGAGTTTCTCTTCTGCATAGTTGCCCCGTGTGGCCACAGACTCCATGAGGATGGATAAAGTCATTTTATTGGAAGAGATTTGCTTCCTTGGTACATTATTTGGTGGTTCCTTATGAGGGATTGTTATCTTAATTTCAAACAAGAAGAAGAAACCTGGTTTCCCCTACTTCGAAGAAATGCACGCTGAGGATTACAGGACCCACTGAAGGCAGTGTACACATTGTCATTTTTCAATGAGAGCAAAAATGCTTTGGCTACAGATTTCATGTCTGCATCCTAGTTTATTAAAAGCAGTCAAATTAGTCAAAATAGGCTTATTGTTTTTTTCCCCTAACGGTTGGGGTCAGGGGTTTAGGGCTCTATAGTTCTTGTTTTGTCTAGAGTATTTGGTGTAAAGTCTTGATTGGCCCAGTGAAATGCAAGTGTAGGTAGTTACCTCGCTCCCTGGACGCTGGAGAGCGTGGAAGCCTGTTGTGGAGCTCAGGAGTGGGCGGCCGGTGGTTTTTAGAGTTCGTGCCTGTTGTTTGGATTCTAAATAGTGTGTGACCCTGTGGTGTGTGCCTCTGGCTGACAGTGGTATCAAAACTTGAAGTTCAAATAAATCACAACTGCAATTGCCATCAATCTCTCCCCTTCGGTTTGGGAGCATCCTAATTATTGTCACAAAAATAGAATTGATCCTGGAAATGTGTTTGACAAAATTTGCTGACATAATGATGCAGGTTATGTTACATTAATGAGACTTGATCCGAATATATATATACACATCTGTTATTTTCATATCTTCTGTATGTTTGAAATTTCAAATATTCAAAAATTAACCCAATAATATAACAGAATTGCATTTAAAGTCACTTGGTTATAGCTCTACAGTTTGCTTTCAACAACCAATTATATGGAGGATTAAATAATATTTTTAAAACTAAGAATGTGTAGTACAAATTGCTGAAAATGAAAGATTATCTGAGATGGTGTCGATACTTATATAGAAATTGTTCATTTTAATATAGTAACAATGTTGATTTCTTTCTAAGAATTTGTACCTTTACACTAAACAATAATCTTCATTCCATTAGGCTTATTTCTTCTCTGTGTAACATACTTATCGGTGATAGGAAATCTAGAATCAACTCTACACCAGGGTTTAGAGTGACCAAAGCCCAGGAGTCTACAGATGATCTGAGGTACTTTTTAGGTTAAATAACACACACACACACACACACACACACACTCACACTCACACACGCTCACATATGTTCACACATGCACAATTGCTTTTATTTATCTCCCCCCCCAGCCTAAAGTGACCATGTATGGCAATATAGTCTTAGAAAGGCAGTCATAAATTAACCAAAAAAGTGGCCAAAAGAGTGGCTCCATGTCTAGACTTAATTCCCTGAAATCATCACAGACGTCAGCAGGGAGAGGCGCAAACAGAAAAGTTTCATGATCTTGTTGAAAAGGGAGGGTGACACTAACAAGGCTTGCTTCTGGAGTAGGTCTGTTGTGTTGAATCTGTTTGTTTTTTTTTAATCCTCACCTAAGAATATTTTTTCATTGATTTTTAAAGAGAGTGGAAGAGATGATTTTTAAAGAGAGTGGAAGAGAGAGGGAAAGACAGAGAAACATCCATGTAAGAGGACACATTGATTGGTTGCCTCCTGCACACGCCCTGACCAGGGCCCAGGCTTGGGAGAAGCCTATAGCCAAGGTATGTGCCCTTGACTGGAATCAAACCTGGGACCCTTCTGTCTGCAGGCAGATGCTCTATTCACTGAGCCAAACTGGCTAGGGCTGAATCTTAACTTACATTCCCAGTCTGTGTCTCAATGAACATGAACACCCAATGCTTGGAAATTATAGTAGTAAGAATCCAGCATGATCATGTCTGTAGGCATAAGATCCATTCTCTAAGCCAAGCTCTCCTGGTAGACTACAGCAATGGAGCAAGGGGCTCATGGATTTACTCTCTAATCTTGTGGGTTATTTCTCCTATTTTTCTGAACAAATGGAACTAAAAAAATGATGTCACATTTACTCAATGAAAGTGCACTGGCTTGCAGATGCTCATCCATAAGAGGGCTGGAGGAGGTGTGTAATTTTAATTTTAAGATTTCTCTCAAATCCACCTAGATTCTGATATATTGCCCTACCAATTGAGAATCGTGGCCAATTTTAGTTTACAAACAAGTTTTAATAAAAGTATTAATTTCTCCCTACTCCCCCATCTTCACCAAACCAGACTGCTCTCTCTAAAGAGTTGTGTATACAGAAAAACAAACTAAATCACTCTTTGTGCTTATCATAGCATGTCCTATGAGGTCAATACTGACCTAAAGGGAAGTCTCTGGTGGCATGCCTTCATACCTCCTTTCTGTCTCATTGGACATTTTAAAAACAACCTGGATTCAGAGATAGTGGATATCTTGTCTGAGATGGCAAGGAAATTTATTTTCAGACACACCTTGGGGATAGTGAGGGCTCATTTCCAGACCATCACAATAATATGAGTATTGCAATAAAGTGGGTCATAATATTTTTGCTGTTGGAAGGTCTTGCACTCAGTTTGTAAAATCACAACATCTGTGAAGCACAATACAGTGAAGTGCAACAAAATGAGATATGCCTGTCTGAATGAGGTCAGGAAAGTGGTTCCAGATGGAACTGCCTCATTAGGGTTGGTCATGTAAGGCTTATACCAAGTCTGAGTAATCATGGGTGGAGGTCTGAAGCTAGGATGAGAGACACACCTGGGAATTACTTTCACCAGGAGGAGTTTTGCTTCCTTCACAAATGCTCCTTCCTAACCATTGTCTTTGTTGGGAAGTCTCTGCGTTTCCTTCTCAGCCCTACTTTGGGAGAGCTTCCTGCAAAAGCCGAGCTCTTCTAAGACATCTCTCCAGAAGGAAAAGACACTTTTAAGTCCACCTCGGAAGATATGCTGTGTCCTCTAAGGCATTCAGATAGATGGCCTCCAAAGTTGTCTGACATTATCAGTTCGTCTTCTGGGGTCCTTCCCCTGAAAAGACGTGTGTGTGTGTGTGTGTGTGTGTGTGTGTGTGTGTGTGTGTGTGTGTATGTGATGTCACCTGCTTATTCCCTATAGATGGCTTATTGTTAAAGCACAGAATCAGGATTCAAACAGATTTCTCTAGGCTAGAAGAGTGAACCAAACAAAAAAGATAAATGTCAAGTTATGCAATTGGGAGAGATGTTTGTTAAAAGTTCTAGCTTTACCAACTTTTGGTGATTCATAAGAATGAGCACATCATCTGCTTGCTAAAAAGGTAATACATAAGCTGTAACAGTTTGCATTAGTAAGAAATATAAGGTCTAATTTAGAAATAGTCATCACTCTATTGCTCTAGAGCATATCTATTAAACACTGAAGACACTGAGAAATTTTACATAGTAGACAAGCAAGAAGGTGAGTGCTTTAGAAACCATGTCATATGGAATATTTAGTGAGAGAAAGAGCTGAATGGCAGTGTTTAAGGATTTCCATGTAGAAGACATCATAGATTGACATTGTGTTTTGCCAGATCTAGGATCCAGGGGTGGAAGGAATTGCAGAAAGACAGAGTTTGGCTTTATTGATGAAAACCTTCTAAAAATTCTATTAACAACCCCCTCCCACCCCACCCCCCAAGGAGTGGAGAGTGCTCAGGCTACATACTGGAGAGTGCTTAGGCTTAGGTTGGGTGACTGCTTATTAGGAATATGAAAATATTATGTAGAGTGTGGTGGTTACTACCCTGCCTTTCACATTCTTCTCATTTTATTATCTGTTTGTAGCTCTTCTGTGATCACTTAGCAGATGGAGAAGGGTTTAGAAAAGGCACCAAGATCTTTGCCCAATTAAACCAAACTGGGTGTGTGTCCTGAATGTGGAGCCAAATATATAGTCATTTTACATTGAATTTTAAGTCAACATGCCTTTTGTGAAGAAAAAAAAAAAAGCCACATGAACATGTGCTATGATGACTGTCTTTTGAAGCCACTGCTCTATGGTAGAGCTAATCAAGAATGCAGAAGAAGAAGAATGGATTGTAAAGTCACAGATCTGGGGTTAAGCCCAAATTGGATGAGCATGGGCAAGTTATTTGGCTTTCCTAAGCCACAGTTTTACCATCTTTTATGGGTGAGAATATCTATTTCCCAGAGTTATAAGCTTAGGTTTGATAATGCATGTACAGTATTTAGCCAGTAAGAACACACTTAATAAATGAAGTTAGTGTAATCAAAAGAGAAGTATTGCTGTAAAGCCAAAGCTAGTTCAAGACTGATCTAATCTTTTCCAAGATGTAGGGGAATCATTTGCTATTCATAGAAGCAGTTTCCTCCTAAAAGGCCTCAACAGAATCCAGTCCCTTAAATTTTGTGCTGGTCACTGCTCCTCTGACAAGCCAGAAAGCTTGGCCAACTATCCAATGCTTTTCCTCATCTATCCATTCATCCCTTCTCATGGCCTTTCTGCCTCTACCAGGCCCATCTCCCCAATATATGGGTTCTTCCCTCTTGGCTCTTGTTCATGCTATGCCCTCCACTTGGAAATGACATCCTCCATGTCCACGTTACAAATACAGATCAACTCAACTTGCCCGAGCCAACTCTTCTGAGGATGTTCTTTTCCTAATTCTGAGTTTCCTTGCCACACAGGCTGTATTTTTGAGCTCTGGGCACATAGATTGAGCCAAATCAGCCTCTAATGTATTTGACAACAGATATTACTTCTTTTTTATTTTTCATAGTGCATATATTTGATGTTTAGTGATCTTGATTGAGTTTAATATGCCACA